TTTGAACTAAAGCTTATCAAATGAACTTTAGTTTAAAGCACCCCGCTGCCATTTTTCAGCATAAGTACTCTGATGCACATGATGTGGGAGGCTGCTGGCGTATGTTGTTTTCCACGCTCCAGGAGACTCGATTAATCACTAGAATCACTGGAATTACAGCGTGCTGGAGCAGGCTCCCTGCACATGTATAGGAGCCCTAAGGTGCTGAAGTAAATTTAGTGCCCACTGTTTGGAATAATTTGGCTGGGTAAAATATTAAACTGTTTATAATGTGGAAGTTCAGAACTGAGTGGATAGTGGCAATTCCTTGGAAATTGTGCACCAAGTCTCTTGGTTTTTTCCTTCCTAAAACCTCGGTAATTTCTTGAATGTTTCTCAAAATGGCTTAAGGCCAGGCTTGATCTTATAACCCAGTCAGCATGTGCAGATCCCATTGCAATCAGTGAATTGCATGGAAGAAGCCATGCCTCCATACTATTCAGAGACAATGAAATAACAGTTCTGTATAGAGCTGTCACCAAACCCAGGGACATGAGGAAAGCCCCTCATAAGAACAAGGTCAAGGATTCTTTCCATCCCAGTTAAGGAATGGAAGTCAGGTGCCAAACCGGTAGTGAAGATATCCAAATGCAGCTGATGCTGTTTGTGCTGTGCATGTTTGTAGGGTAAGTCATTGTCTCTAGCACATCTGAGGATGATGACAATGGAGTGCTGATAGGATGCTTGTACTGCACAAACATCAAATTCAGTCTTTGCCCCAAGAAGCTGCAGTGTAGTGCAACATCTGCCTCTCTTAACATTTTCCATCAAGGGTCTGAGTGCTCCTGACAGCCATTCTTGAATGAAACTTCCCAGTATGTTAGCTGTGAGCGAGGTGTTAGCAGCACCATGCTATATGTGGGGGAACTGTGGGCACATAAAACTAGCTGAAGAGCCACTTGAAGGGATGGTTCTCAAACTGTTCTGCTGCTGCTTTCTGTTCATAGATACATTAAATGTGCCACGTGCCATTTCTGAATTCAGGATGTAGAGGTTATTGTTGAAGGCCTGCACGTAAAGCTTGCGTCCATTATGTGGTAGGTTGGATAGCTGGCGTGTTTCAGAGGCTTAGGGCTAGGGGAATGCATTGTATTTGCCACAAGCTTTTTTGTTTCAGAAATGTCATGTGGAGTTGAGATTTTTCTTGCAAATCCTGCTCACAGATGAATGTCTTGTAGCCCCTCTGCAGTGTTTGAGAGCCCTGAAGTGACACACAGGGATGTGTTTAGAATGTGTGTGCAAACATGAGCTTACACAGTATATAAATACACAGGGATGTCGATGCACACACAAACTTCTCTGCATTAAAGTGTGCCTGAGAATGCCCCAGTGTATGAGCGTGTGAACTCCCTTTTACAGTCAGACTGTGTATAGCCTTCAATCAACACGAAAGGAAGCTAAGTGCAGACTGTGATTTACAGCCTGAGGCGATCAAGAGCAACAGTAACTGAAGGGAAAACAATACCATTGGCAAAGTCATCAAGGCACTCAGACTTGGATTGCCATGTGCATGTGTGTAGGAGGGGAAATGAAGGGACACCTGCTGAAGGCATTTTCTAGCTAGAAATAAGGAACATATATAGAAGCAGATCCTTTCATCTTGATTTTATTAAAATCCCAGTGGAATAATTGAGAGTTTTGCCTGAGTAATGATGTCAGGATTTGCCCCATAATTCATCTAGTGAGCACCTGCTACAGCTCACTATAGCCAGCAGAAGCAAATTTTCCAGTGGGAGTGAGATTACTCCATGGCATGCTTTCCTTTAATGTGAAGGGATCAGAAATAAGGGTTTCACTATATTCCTAGGTGGAGAGGAACTGATTTGTTCATTCATCTTCAGACTTACTTGTTTGAAGACTGTTCAGACAAAATTTCCCCATATCTGAGCAAATGTGGTGCCTGTGTTGAGTTTGTGTTTGTGTGTGTGTGAGCACTGAGAGTCACCCTGTGGGCATACCATGCATTTATGTACACAAGCTGGGCTTAATTAGCAGTTGCTTTGCACTTACCTGTTTTGCATAGGTAAATGCATGCTTGTGGACCCATACATGCATTTTGCAAGGGACACCTAGGTACTTCTATTAGTAAAGTTGCTATATTGGTTAAAATAGAAATTCTGACAATACAAATGCACAGGAAGGGACATGGGGGCTCTCTGGAGGGCCACTTTAATCCTGTTCCATGGGTGAGTAAACTTTGACTGTCTAATTTTCCTGTTCAGTTTCTCTTACCTTCTTCCACCCCTGCTTTCCTGTCCCCTCTTCCCCCTTATGACACTTATTATTTTTCCATCCACAGCAAAACAGTTCACATCAAGGTAATTGATGATGAGGAGTATGAGAAAAACAAGAATTTCTTCATTGAGCTGATGAGCCCACGCATGGTGGATATGAGTTTACAGAAAGGTGTAGTACTGGTCCTCCAGACTAACATTAACATTCTTCTTTCCTCTTCTCTTTCTTCTCCTTCCTCCTCCTCCTCTTTTTTTTCCTCCCTTTTTTCTGTTATTTCTTTTTGTTTCCAACTGCTCTGTCCTTAACACTGCTGTGCACGCACAAATTTGTCACATGGTACTAGGGGAATCAATGGGATGGAAACCTACATTTGGGAGGAGGGTGATCTTGGGAAGCGAATGAGAGAGAGAGGGGGAAAACTGTGTGTGGGAGTGGAAGGGTATGTATCTGTGTGTTGGGGGAGAGAAATCATATTGGTACCCCCAGGTTACTGTAATAGTCCATGCTGGCGTTTTCAGTTGCCCCCACTGGGTGGTGATCCTAGTAGGACTGATCCTGATGCCTAGCCATGAAGCTTCCCTAGAAAAACATCTACACAAAACACACACAGATACCTAAAAGAGCTGTCAGCCCCTTCACAGCTATGGCAGGATGCTTATCTGACCCGTACTAATGAAAACATAAAGTCAAGGCCCATACTCAAGTTGCTTGTGGTAATTTCTTAAGAGTGTTCTGTAAGTGTGGCAACCTTCACAAGCTTATCACAAGCCGACTCAGGGCAGAAACACTGTCAGGACAAAAGAGAGAGTCAACACGCACCATTTCTAAGTCCTTTTGCTCTCCCACAGCAGCTTTATGCATTGCAGTAGTGGTAAACATGGCACACGGTGCTCCTCGTACATAGCTGGGAAGGAGAGGGAGAAGAAGCAACTCGAGTCTAGTGGCTCAGCCTGAGGGATGTTTTGTGTTGGCTCTATCTTTCCAAGCAGTGGCAAAGCCTATTTGCACATCAAACTGAATTTCCATCCAGGAATAACCAAGTCAGGGAAAATAAGCAGCATGGTCATAGGATACTGATATTTTTTTCAGTTTAAAAAGAGAGGTATAAAAACAACCCCCTCAAAGTCAAATAAGAGCTGTAGCGTGAATAGAAAGCCTCCACAGGTGTGTATGGGTTTGTATGCATGTCCCTCTCTCTCTCTCTCTCCCCTACTCATCTCCTAGCTCTAACATATTAATTATGAGAGGGTAGGAGAAGCGATTGGCCTTTCAGCTAAAATGTATTGGATATATTTGTGGCTCAGTCTTGCTCTCATTTATTTCTGACTTGTCAATATTTGCATTTTTACCATGTGACACTAAACTAAATGTGCTGCATAAGTCACCTCCCACTAACCATCAGCAAGGTCCAAACCTCCCTCCTCTCCCCTTCACTCCCTTGCCAATCCCCATCTTCCTTCTCTAACACTCTCCCACTCACCCAAAGACCAACTACGACCGATGCGCCATATAAAACACACAAAAGAAACGCCACTGGAGGCAGTGGCGGGAATGGGCTGCATGTGAGAAACGTGTGGTGCTGCTGCGTCTGCTCCAACCAGCCAACCCACTGTACACGGTTGTCTTTCTTGTTGTCCCTACAGGAAGACCGTAAGGGTTAAAATAGTAGATGAGGAGGAATACGAAAGGCAGGAGAATTTCTTCATTGCCCTTGGTGAACCGAAATGGATGGAACGAGGAATATCAGGTGTGAGATCCTTTTTGAAAACAAACAGAAAAAAAAACAAACCAAACCAAACTCTCCTTCCCCTCCCCGTTTTCCTCCTCCTTTAGATGGATCAACTTTTATTCTTTGCCCTCCTATATTCTCGCTCTCACCCTGTTTCGGTGTCATCTCTGCCTTTTAGAGCCTAGCTGTTTTCTGATCCCCCTTTTGTGCAATGCTCGAGCCTCAGAGGACTTATTAATATCATCAGTTTTGATTTTTGTTTTGTTCTGTTGACATCTTTGCTGTTACCCCTCACCTCCTCCTAATGCTGAGATGGAAGGGAATTCAAAAGAAATTAAAAGAACGTCATGCATGGCTGTCTCTTCAGCTCTCCTTGTATATCTCACAATCCTTCCCTCTTTTGTCCCCTGCTCCTTATGGCACTACTTATGGTATTAATGTTATTGGGTTCCTACAAGGCTTTGTTAAAAGCCAGCAGTATAGCAGGGGAGTTATGATTGCTATGTTTTGGTTGTAAAATAATACTTTGCCATTCTTGACCTCTTTTATCCAAGAATCGCCAAGCACTTCACATATACTTATTAATGGAGCTGCACAACATGTCTATGAGGTAAGTATGTAGCAAAATTATCATCCCAAATTGCAGACAGATACAGTGAATCAGAGAAAGTGATTTGCCAAAGGTCAACCAGCAAGTCAATAGCAGAGCTGCAAAGGCACCCTGACTCTGTCATCACTTACAGTATCTTTATCTGAGTTCATCTGCCCGTGTATTCAACCTTTTCAGGTGCCTCTGCTGTC